CGGAGAGAGAAGCGTCCCAAACCGCCAAAGGCGTTGTGCCGGGCCTGGAGAGAAACGGCTTCCTTCTCTGTTCCTTTTCATCCATTAAGTCGCAGTTGGCGCCCACTTAGATCTTTCTTTTAAAAAAAAAAAATCATGTATTTATGTCAATGACTTCAGAAGGTACAAATTGTTTTAGATTACATTTGTATAGTGGCAAAGAAGTCTGGGCTTTAAGTGTACCCACCACCCCCACCTGCCACTTAGATTCTTAACATCCCTGTGACACTGTATCGTTTCCTTTCGGAGACAGGAAAGCCAACCTGAAGCAGCCACCACCATCTAAACGGAATGCCATGCCTTTGCTTTTTTGCAGTTTTCTGCATGACTGTCTTCAATTCACGGCAGGTGGTAGGGATTTTTCATTTAATGCCAGCCAGTAACAGGACGTTTCCACCTCAAGGTTTCTTATCAGTGAAAATTGTGAATGACAGGTGCTGGTGGTGGGCACAGTGCTGGAACGTGGGAGTTTAGGAAGCTGAGGCCTGGATGAGTCCTGGTACCCTGTCTTACTCTGTTCAGGCTGCTATAACAAAATACCATAAACTGGGGGGCTTACAAACACCAAATATTTATTTCTCACAGTCCTGGTGACTGGGAAGTTCAAGTTCAAGGCGCCAGCAGATTCAGGGTCTGCGGAGGAGCATTCCTCATAGAGGGCACTTTCTTGCTGCATCCTTGCCTGGAGGAAGGGGCAAGGCAGTTCCAGGTCCTCTTTATGTGTTTGTTTGTTCGTTTGTTTAAACCAGCCCACATCATGCTGTGATGGAGCCTCTTTCATAAGGGTACTAATCTCATTCATGAGGGTGACATTCTCATGATCTAATCACCTCCCAAAAGGCCCCACCTCCAAAGACCATCACCTTGGGGGGTAGGATTTCAACACATGAATTTTGGAGGAACACAAATATTCAGATCATAGCATGCCTTTAGGAGGTACCTAAGACATCCCTTGACCTACATTCCTGACCATGTCCACAGCAGTCCAGGTGGGGAGGTCATGCATTTGCCCAGAGCTCTGAGGATCTTGGGGCTGCCAGGCCATCTTATCCCCCACTGGAATGGACAAAGAAGCCCTATGTAGAATGCAGAAGGTGTGGACTTTGGAGCCAGGCCTTCCCCTCTGTGCCTTTGTGTCCTTGTCTGCAAAATGACTGTGGCGGGGTTGCCGTCAGGATTCCAAGTGTCACCAGAGAAACACCTAGACAGGTGGGCAATGGTTATTGGTTCAGGGTTCATAGCCTCCTATCCAGCAGTTTCCTTATCTGCTGCATCTCCTGCTTTCACCCTGCTTAGAGGGGTGAGGGAGCCAAGAGCAAGACTGTCTAGGGACAGGAATTCCCAGGGCATGGAAGTCACAAGCCCTTGGTAAATACCTGGGCTGAAGACCTCATCACACAGATGTTTTACAGATGGAGGCCCAGAGCAAAGCAGAATCAGGTCCCACGGACTGTCAGGAGAACTGGGAACCAGATGGTGGTCCTGTCTGTTCCCAATTATGTGACTTGCTGGAGGGGGCCATTGCCCACAGTCCTGCCCCAACTGCCCTTCACACCACCTCACACTCAGAGCTGGGGCAGAACTGAGATTTCTGGGTGGGAGAACTAAAGCTTCAGGCAGGGTCAGCTGGGGTTAGGATCTCTAGCCTTTGCTCCCCATCCAGGGACCCTTCATTCTGCACCCACCCCATCCCTCCTGCATTGCCTGACACTCTTTGGACTAAGATAGGAGGGCCACATCCTGGGAACCGGGATTCCTATTCTCTTTTTGCTCACCGGCACTCACATGCAACCAGCCACGCTAGACATTTGTCCTGCCCAATGTGACTCAGATGTAGGCAGGAATGGAGCAGGGCTGAAGGTTCACCCCCTCTTCATCACTACCTGTTGACAGCAGATGGGAACCCTGCTCCACTTTCCAGAAACAAAGAAAAGGACCAAGCAAGGGTCTCACAGCCTAGCTCTCTCAGCCCCTCACCTAGTGCCTGGTGGGGCAGGCATATGATTTCATGGTTGAGGCTGCAAGCTTTGGCATCCGATGGCCAGGGAACAAATGCCAGCTTTTCTGAGCACTAGTATTAGACTTTACAAGCATCATTTAATCTCTCAGAGCTTTTATATCTGTACCACTGGGGACAAAACAGCTGTTTGAGGGTTGTTATGAGATTAAATGTGATGGACAGAAAGCACCCAGCACAATGCCTGGCAGTATCGCCCTGAGCCCTTGTCTCTCTCTCTCTCTCTCTCTCTCTTTCCCTCTCTCTCTGTCCCTGTCTCTGTCTTTCCCACCCACAAGTGGCCCCTTCTGCGATCTGGACCCAGCCATCATTGCTGGCATACTGAGTCATAAACATCTCCTATCTTAGACTCGCTATTCAGGCCTCAGGGAAGCTTCTCCCTATCTCTTGACCTATTATCTAAAAAAAAGGTGACTGCTTTGCCCATAGTGCAAAGATCTGTGGTTGTGCCCCGTTCACATCAGACGTGGACACCACTGTGAGGAATGGAAAAGATTGGCAGCTGAGGAGCTTGGGAAAGGAGAAAAGCGATCTAATGCATCAGATCCCGTCAGAAGGCACAGAGGTTTGCATGATGAAGTGTGGTTTTCCAGGAGTAATAGCATCCATTTCCTCAAGGCTCTTCACATTCCTATTCATAGTACTTGTGACAGAACATGGGGGACTGGTTGGCAACAGCAGCACCCAAAGGCTGGGGACCATTTTTCAACATTAAGCAATTGATGCTGCCATTAAATTTGTATATTTATGGTTCTGATTGTAACATATGATACATGATAGCTCTATTTGGGCAACTAGGTATGAAACAGTAGAATTGCATAGTTGTTTTGTTTTTGTTTTTGTTTTTGTT